ATTGTGGAGTCAGAAGCGGAGACAACATATACATATTGGTACATGTAACATGATTTATCTGACTGATAAATATAAAACAATAGATCAGATGAAATGGTAACTTTAAAATATCATAGACAATAATTAGCATGGAAAATCATTCATGTATTTGTTTTCTCTATTTTCATTTAGGGAATTATTATTTTTAAAAATATTTTAATCAAGTAAATCTAAGAAAATTAAAAATTATTTTCTAAAAAACATTTTTCGTCATAACAAACACACCCTAATAGAGAGCTGAGATTTTCAATTAAGAAACACGGTTTACTAATTAATAATTCAATATATAAATAATCTAATCTCCACATATATATAATTTTTAAAATATATATATTATTGTCAATTGTCAAAGTTTGAGTTAACGTAAATAAATTCCAAGTACACGCCATGTCTTACTTTGTCTTTGGTTTAAAGATCCAAAGACCAATTAAAATGTTCAAATTATCAAAAATTATATTTAATAAGAAGTGTTTTCGGAAAAAAAAACTTTTAAAAATGACTTGTTTGCATGTATTTGGAAATTAATTTGTGCTTGGCCAAAATTTCAAAAAGGCTTCTGAAAAAAAAATTAAATTTTTGAAATTGTTTTTTATTATTATTCAAAAATAGTTTTTTTTTTCTGTTGACTTAACAAATAACTCTATATAATAGATATTTCTTTACAACTTTTTGAAAAGCTTACTATGATGATAATTCTTGATGTTTTTGAATAAAGTTTTTTGGATCGACATTTTAAAAATACAAATAAATATACCAAAGAAGAAAAGTAGATATAATATGCTAATATCAATTATGGCATTTGAAAGTTAACAATTTTTTTTAACTATTATTTTGTATATATTGATGAAAAATTGTAATTTAATATTATTATTGCAAGTTGTAGCTAGCTAGATTGACCACTTCATCAAGCTATGATGATTGGTAGAATTTCAAAGGAACTCAATTGTGTATAGTGTTCCTTCTTTAATTCTTTTACGGTGGTTGACGCGTTAATTGACAATTTTTTACTTCAATTTTATTATTATATATTTTTTCCATACTTATTTATATTATGATTAACTTAAACAAAACATCTAACGAAAAAAATTCATTTCAACCTTTACAAGATAAAAATAAAATTATGCATACATCATTCTGCTCAGATTTTATTTATAGAATAATACTAAATATATTATTATCGTTATATTTGGGATGGGGTTGTTAGTGTTGATTAACTCAATATGCTTTATTAGTTGTTAATTTGGTTGAAAAGGGTAACTTTTATCCATGTTTCTTTTTCATTTTCAATTTTCAAACTTTCATTAGAGACTTTCTAACTTCTAATTGTTAGGTACAATAACAAATTGATTTTTCTTATTGAATAAAAAATTCAAGATGGCTTTGGGGTTGTTAAATCGTACATGAGTTAATTGTAGACTAGTATTTTCAGATTTAATTAAAATGTATATATTTTATCATTGGAAACATCATGGCAATTACTAAGAAGTTAATTACTTGTAGTCATCATACCATCATTAAGAGATTTCGAATCGTAGCTATTATTTTTAACGAATTTTATCGTCGAATGTATCATGAATCTAAATTAATAAAGTTCAAAATAAATACCAAAGAAATAAAATCTATCGCTCTTCACTTTTAATTTCGTATTTGTGTTAGGATTTTCTAAAAGTAGATTATCACGTTACATATTAACATTCTTTAAGAACTCAAGCAATATAACTTTAAGATGGATATACTTATAGACAATATTGGATATTTGTCTTCGATTAAAATTACTCTATATATAAAGTTCAAAGAATAAAAAGAAAAAATAAATTAAAGTATTTATAATAGTAACTAGAAAAATATTCTTTTTTTTCTACGTTATATTGATATTCAATAGTGATAAAATTAAAATTCTAAACCTTGATTAAAATTGTCCACTAACATATATTCTTTCAAATTGTAATATTATTTTTCTATTCTTAGGCAATTTACAAATTATTTTCGATTCAAAAGAGGAATTTTGTTTGTAAAAAAGGAAAGAAAGCAAAAGGATAAATTAATATCTAACACTATGAAAAAACATAGACATTGAACTTAATTTGATTGAAATACTAGTTCATAAGATGAGAATTGTCTAAGATTATAGAAGAAAAATCATATTTAACGCACACATGTCCAAGAATGAATATCTATAGAGCCTATATGGTATGACATGGAATCGAACTTCAGATAAACTAAGAAATTGAAATAAATATGGGCTTTGATACCATAATTAAAAAAAGGAAAAATTACGTGGTTAAGTAAATTTATACTACTTGATTACTTGTCATAGCTATAGTTTGTTATAATTATCACTCGCAACTGACATTATACATTGATTACGCGGTTTGATTTTGAGTTTGTATAAATAGTCGCGTTTGTATATGTATAATTCGTCAAAATGTACAAATATATATGTATAATATACAATTATCTAACTGATATACATATACAATTCACCTCTCTCCCACTCGCTTCCCTCTCTAGCTCACCTCCCTAGCTCCTCTCTCTCCCAATCTCGCTTGCTATATATATATATATACAAATGCATATTATAATATACAATTATCTAATTGACATACATATATAATTCACCTCTCTCCACTCTCTGTCATCTCTCTTCTTTCCTCTCTATCCAAATCTCGCTTGTATATATACAAATACATATGTATAATATATAATTATCTAATCGATATGCATATACAATTCACCTCTCTCTCACTCTTTGTCCTCGCTCGTCACTCTCCTCTCTCTCCCAGTCTCGCTCGCCTCAAGCCTCCATATAATATGCAGTTACAAATTGTAATTATCAAATTATAGTTATGAAGAGTAATTAGGCTATTTTTGAGTGACTATATGTGAAAGTTCCTCAATATAAAATAAATGTTGAGCTTAACTTAAACTAAAATATAGCTGATAAGGTGAGGATTGTTCAAAATCACATAAGTATGACTATTTTGAAATTTAAACAGTGAGGGATCAAAGATAGCAAAAGAAAAATCTAAATTAAATATGATTTTGAACTTTGTCACACCTCAAAATGAACCAATGATTAATATAATTATTATTCTATAATATTCATTATTAATCAATTAATATATATATATATATATATATATATATTTATTTATTTATTTATTTATTTATTTTTATTTTTTTTTAATTCTTAACAAATAATTTGGAGAATAAGTAATTAATATTAACAGTAAAATGTGGGGGAAAAGTTATTTTTTTAATAAAATAAATTCATTATTCATTTTTAGTTACTGTCATAAAAGAATGGAGAATTATCCATCTTCTATGATAAAAGAAAGAAACAAAGAAGACTTTATATAAATTAGGAAATTTATAAATGGAAGTATTTTATGGCTACATAGGATCAAACGTAAAGCAACAATCATTTGGTAGAGTTTTAAGCGATAATAGATATTCATAAATTGAATAATTATTCGAAAAAGAATTAAAAATTACAGATGATTTGACATGTCATATTATCTTATGTCAGTCTGCAATAAAAGAAGAAATAAAAAACATACTTCATAAATATTTTGAAATCTAAAAATGGAAAGCATTTATGGGTATATAGAATCAAATGCTAAGCAACATTTTTTTGGTAGAGTTTTAGGTGACAATAAACATTAGCAAATTAAATGATTGTTTGAAAAAAAAATTCAAAAATTTAACAAATGATATGGCATGTACCCAAAAAAAATTGAACTTAATTGAAATTTTTTTTAAAAATCATTTTACTAGTTATAGTTACTAGTAAAGTTCAACTTTTATTTATGATTTTAGAGTATTTTACCATGGTTGATAAAGACGCATTATAGTAGAGACAAATTTATAATTGAATTTATGAATTCATGAAAAATCACTAATTTTGATTCAAAATCTACATTTATTTATTAGGATCAAAGTTGTTGATGTCCGATTGTCATATTTATATTGAGAAGAATTTATCTTTACTTAATATTATACACTTTATTTATTCAAAATCTAATAAGCAATGAAATTATAATTCAAACCTATAAACTTAAAAATGTTAATGTATCCTTAAATTATAGCCTCTTTTTAAGATTTTGAACAATATATAGGATTTAGCTAGTTCATTGTGTTGGAATGTTAAATCTCTGTACTATGTTATTCGCGTTTTATGAATTGATTTTTGAAGTTGAGTTTGTCATTTAGTTCATTTTTTTTTAACGTACGATTAAAAAAATATTTCAAGTTTTCAATTATGGTACGACAGAGATATCCACGTAGGATTAATCATTGGCCACGTAGACAAATGATCAAACGACATCGTTTCATGGTTCAAAATGTTTAAAAACAATATTATTATAAAAAAAACTACAATATCATAAAAGACCACCGCCAAAAATGTCAGTCATTCACATGGATTTATTGTGCATATTTTTTTATTCGTATTTCATGTCTGATATTTACGTTAGAATTTAATCAAATTTAATCTTATGTTTGATATTTACGTTAAAATTTAATTAAATTTAAATATGTATACTTTGTAACTCATTTTTTTACAACTTGATTTCTTTCATTCTCGAGAATTTTAAGCCGAGACATCTTATTAAGAGTAAAAAAAGATTAATAGTTCTTAGCTTGAAATCACTCCCTCCATGTTGGGTAAAATAATTGAGATTTTTTTGTGGATTTTAGTATAGAATTAATATTAAGTAAATCATATTTTTATTTACTCACTTATATTCTTAGTACAAATAATGGAAGTTGATTTACAATTTCTAGAACATGTGTGCATTATTTATAAAAAAAATATGAGGAAAACAATCCATAGCTATTACTTTAGAAAAATAATATTACATCGATTCTAAAAAATCGCACGTAAAAATACATAATTTTGTAAAGAAATCATCATGAATACACTATTTTTTTTCAAAAACAAATAAAAATTAACCCTTTGAAAAAATTTAAATTATTTCTCAATTTTTGTGTGTTTTTTTAATTTGCGCAAAAATCATGCTAATCTTCTCTGCATTGTTTCAATTTTATCGAATGTCCCCGAAGGGACCATGGATTCACTATATAAAAACATGGTTATGAACTTTTATTACTCCTCTATAGTAGAGTACAACTTACATGGTATATATAAACTTTATAATTAACTATATATCATAAGAAGTGATTCTCTATATTATGTGTATTTGATATTTTCCTTTCTATTTTTACAACCCCACATGAATTTATACTAAAAACAAGAACTCATTATTCAATATTTTTCACTTAAACATGTAATCTATCTATCTATCTAGGGTTGAACACTTTGATGATAAGGGTAATTATAATTAGGTAAGTAATTCCCACTTAATGACATTGACATAGGCCTATTAATTTCAACTTTTTCAAGAGATTGAACTTGCTTCTTCAAGAATTTCATGTAATGAATTGCTTCATCTAACATTGATGCAGTGTCCATTTTTGTTCCACCTGGTACTAATCTTTGTAGTATCCTTATCTTTTCACTTATCCTTTCTCTCCTATGGCGCGCCGCCACGCTTTGAGGATCGCTTGATATCTTCACGTTCCTTCTCTTGGGCGCTTTTACTGGTTATTCAGAAATAATATCCACGTTAAACAACAAGAAAAAATAACTGATATTAATAACAAGATATGGTTAACAGCGAGAACGAAAAAGAGAAACAAGTCAACAAATATCTCGACTTTCACATCAAGGAAAAAAACTACTAGTAGAAATAGAAATTTGATGACGGTCAAATTTAATAGTTAAATAATAAAATCCGTTGATAAAAGATCATTCAATATCGTCATGTTTCTTCTCTAGGTGTTTTTATTAATCTGCCAAAAATAATATCCACGATAAATAACAAAAAAAAAATATCGATCAAAATATCAGTAATAATGACAACGAAAAAGAGAAATTAACTTAACATATATCTTGATTCACACATCGATAAAAAAACAAAACCACTACTTGAAAAACAAAATTAATGAGGGTCAAATTCAATAGTCAAACAACAAAATTTGTTGATAATTTCCAATAGCAAATTAGCAACACATTAAAAGATAAATTATTACGAGAACAGTGTCAATTATATGAGATCTTTTCATGAATTAGTATAAAAAATTTTAAAAAAATAAATTTTCAACGAATTTTCATACTAATTTTCGAAAAACTCTCTATTTAATTCACACTTTTCTGATAATATTAATTCATACCTATTTTCATTTTTTGATAGTGGTATGACTAGAAAGATACCATGAACTATCAAGCCACTAAGTACAAGTTGCACCCGAAGTCATTAGTCTGAAGGCACGTTTATTTGAGCGTTACTAAAATATATAGAGATACACATAAGGATACCAAAATTCTTACCAGATGATGGATCGATTTGAATTGGTTGCATCGCAGCTATTCTAAAAATCATCTCCCTCATAGCCACCATAGAATTTCGCTTCAATGTACGTGAAGGAAATGTACTCAAATGCGAGGCAGTGGATACTTGTTCTTTATAGTCACCTTTAACAGAAGTACTCCATTTTTCATTATCACGACTTGAATTTTCCAAGAAAGGGAGGGTTATTGTAGATTCTTGATGAACTATTTGAGGAGATCTAGAGTCATTGAATGGAATAGTAGAGGATGGCACATTGTTCAAGAATGTAGATGATGAATCATGATGATCGATAATTTCAAAGAAATTATTACAATCAGTATTATTGTTATTGTTATTGTTGCTGTTATTGCTTCGTCGCGAACTATAGTCCAACATTGGCATTTCATTCTCCATTTGCATCATAAGCATCATTTCCATTTGATCTTCACAAGGTGAAGATTTGAGCAAGTCGATATTATCCATATATATGACTTTTTCTTTTTTTTAGAGTAAAGAAGAAAAGAAAATTATTGATGTTTATTATTGAGAAAAGCAGAATGTACGCAGATTTAAAATTTAATTATAATTAAATCAAAGATCTAACTATACTACTATAGTCTATTTGATTTTTTTGGGAGAAGAAATATTGAGAGGGGAATAAAATAGTGATATATATTGGGAACAGACTACAATAAAGCTCATTGGGAAGGCTATATATAACAACTTGTAAGTACATTATAATTATTATTATTATTATTATTATCAATATTATTATATTAATTTTATCATATGCTTTTTTATATTATATACTGATGGAGCACTAGAAAAGTTGGTAAAACTTCTCTTTCCCCCTTTTTGGTTTTGTTTTTTCGCATTTGATATTTTCTCCGTCCATTTTTATTTCTTTATTTACATTAAAATAAAATATTTTAATTTTAATTTGTCGAATTTTAAAAATGATATCATTTTATTCTTATTTTACTTTTAGTTAATAAATAGAATTCATTTATTAATACTTAATATAGCTTTTAAAGAGATATTACTAATAGAAAATTAAAAATTAGCAATGAATAAAATTATACAGCTAAATATCAATCTCATTTAGCTATTGATTAGTAATAGATTATAAAAAATTCAACTAATTTGAAGCTTTTTGCCAACAAGTTAACTTAGAATTATAGACAAATCTTATTTTTTCGAGTAGATAATATATCAAGTTAATATAAATAAATAATTATCGACGAAGGAGAATAAATATCTTCTAAACTATACTCTAAAAATATATAGCGTAAAATCATTTTTGAATATGTAAGTCAGAGAACTTGACCTTTATAATATTCGAAGCATCTTTGACTAACTAAAAATAATTGGAAAAATACTCGACTCTTAAAGAAAAATTAATATTCCCCAAAGAGAAAGTTAAATATCACCAAAAAAGGGTAAGAGAAATGAAAATATTATTTTTTAAAAATATTTTTATAATAAGAAATATATAGGGATGGGTCAGATCTACACAAGTGCTTTTGATGCATTGAACGGTATAAATATTACTACCAAAATTAATCTACATTCATAGATCAATAATGCACCAGTCTTAAAGTTTATACATTTTAAGTTTTACGATTTTCGGCGTTTCAATTTATATGATTTTGTTCGAATAAAAATTAAATTAATTTTTATATAAGTTAAATTAAATTAATTTTTATATAAGTTATATTTTTCTTTCATATATAAAAAAAAGAGTAGTTTTGTGTACAAATATAACGTATAAGCAAAGATTTCACTATTAAAATATGATGTAGACAGTTTATTCTAAAACAAATATTAGTAACTGCTTTTACAATTTAATTAAATTCATCACCTGTAAATCTTACTAAATTAATCTTTTTGAGATTGCACTTCTTACATATTTTTAATTTTAAGCATTTGAATTGTCAGTAATTGTAGCTTATAATATTAAAAAAAATTAAGTATATTAATTTTACTTCTAAAAATATAAAAGAAAACTAACCTTTAAAATAAAACGACGATCATTTAAATTGAAACGAATTAGTATCACTTTATTCCGAGAGAAGTCAGAGAGATTTCATGTAGTCATGCTCACCCCATGAAAATATATTGGTAAATGAGTCAAACTTGATATTCTCAATTTAACGTAAATTATTAATTTATTTTTAAATTATCAATAATTTTTAAAATACTCATTATTTAGTTTACTAAATTTATATACACTCAGTAAGTAATCTCAAACTTTTTTTTAGGAGCATGGGGCTCTTAACAATAAATATAAAAGTTGAGAGCAGTATCAAGAATATATACTACTAAATACGAGGAGAATTTAAAGATGTATTTCACTCATATTGTAACATTATAGTGTATTTAAGTTTAATTAGTCAAGTAAAAAAATATTTTTAAGACTGTTAATAATTTAAGGATAAAACTAATAATCTACATCAAATTCGACTATGTTCTCGATATTTATATCATATTTTTATAATGATCTTACATTTTTTGGGAACGCATTTCGAGGAGGATTAGGTTCTGCCATGACTACTACTACCTCGTGTGTTTGTTTAACTTATGTGTAAAAATCGAATTGGATATGTGGACATATTAGAAAATTAAAAATATAGGTTAAAAATAATTTAAAATAAATTGATTATGATAATATTATACACAGAAGATTTGAAATCAAGACATTATGATTAGTGTGTCATATTACGAAAATTTATCTAACTTTGATCACACGAGTTGAAACATCAGATCGTAATAGGATAAGATCGAGTTTTGAAATAAGTTCAAAAGTTCAATCAATGAAAGAGTTCGAGATCTCTAATTGATGAACATTGTATAGATAAGATCTGATGCTAATACTGATTCAGACTTTAAAGACTTTTAGCGATTCATTTTCAAGAATCAAAGAAAGAAAAAAACTAACCTCATTTAGAAATTAACTACTTTCTTTAATAATCGTTAATTTTCACGTAACATATACCAAGACAATAAAATTCAAAAATAATAAAATATTACTATAATATATGAAACGGGTCTGATTTGGATAAAAAGAAGTCTGAATACACAGATTTTGTTGTTGGAACGTTGATTTTTTATTTTTATTTTAATATAATTATTTACTTTATATTATCACTATTATTGCAGTACCTTATCTTATCTTTCCCACAAACTTAACATTTAGTTCCCTTTTTTAATTTATTTATTATGAGTTCAAAATATGTATATTTTGAATCGTAATATTTTACCTTTTTATGTGTTATAATCGATTGACTTACACAAACTTAATTTGACTGAATTTTATGTAATTATTTCTTCGACGATTAATTTTATTGTAAATGTCATTTTGTGTAAGTTAATTAATGATGTCACGTAAATAAGAACAAACGATTTGCTATCAAAAAGTCACAAGTGGTCCTATTGTCTATCTTCTTTTTCCACATGATTTTCATGTCTTCAATTGTGAGCTACGGATTGAACCATTGACATATTAAAGCTCTTCAGTTAACATGTTCGTTTTGTTCACCTCAATTTGTGTCCTATTTGAAATTAAAAATAGGTGGAATTGATTTATAGCTTCGACGACTCTACCATCCAATCGATTGTTTTGTTTCGAGTTCGAGCTTCAGGTTCAGGGAAAATAAAGTCATAATATAGAGTAACATGTGATTATACATTTTAAGTAGTCATATTGTGTAAATATTTGGTATACTGATAGAGGCGGCTTAATAAAATTGATGGCTTAAAAAGCCAAATCATAAAATAAAGTTTTTAAGGATAAACTTTAAGTTAAAGCGATAACAAACATTGCAATTAAAGTAATAATACAATATAGTATAATAAGCTTGTCATCACTTCCAACATGATTTTTTCTACCCCGAGAAATTCGATCTCCAAACATAAAATTAAAGATAAAGAAATCTCAATCATCCCACTGTGTCGGTGTATATATATTGTCCTGCCTATCATTAGAGAATGCAGTACATCCTATATACATGCATTGACACACCATGTTAATATATTAGAAAGTGAAAGAATCAATCATAACACTTAGAACCACACGATCAGAGGCGGAATCAAAATTTGAACTTTATGAATTCTTAACGGGAGCAAAAAAATGTGTTAGTAACTGGATTCTGAATTTAAGTTTTTCGTACATTTATTGAATTTTTACAAATACAAATATTGAATTTGAACTAAAGCTACTAAGTCCGTCCTTGGAATCACTATAAATACATGCACTCTAGTTTTTGACTAAACACGAAGTTTTAGAAGGGAAAGAAAACTTTTAAATTTGTTGTCTTAAACTAAAGGTTACATAAATACTCGTGGACTTAAACATGTTATGTCATTCGTATAAGGTAATGTCATTAAGGGAAAAATGGAATGTAGAATCAAAAACCTACCAAGTATAGAAAAGTGATATTCTTTTTGTTTCGGACTAAAAAGAAAAGTAAGACTCATGTCGATATCTAGAGCACTAGTGGCTTCAACAAGAAACAGAACTGTAGTATCCATCAACAAGGCCCTGGAAAGTTACATATCCAAAAGAGAGGTGTGGTCTTCTCATAAGGGAAATTACAGGCACAAGATGATAAAAATGACATGAATTACTCCTCCGTTTCACTTTGTGTGTCTGGTTTTGACTTAACGTGGAGTTTAAGAAAGTAAAGAAAACTTGACGTGGTGTTCAAGACATATGTTACTACAGAGGATCCAATCTTATGGTAGTTGCAACAATGGGACTTTTTACAATATGTTTACCACTAGTTTCAACCCAACTCAAAGATCCATAAGCAAGATTATTATTATCTACTAGCAATGGACATTCTATCCTAAGCTTGTAGCATTGTTTTTCATACTTTTCTTTGAAAACCAACTTGTGTGGTGCAACACTAACTTTATATTCATCCATTGGGGTCAATTTTGAATACTTGTATCCGTTTAGTATCCGACTTGCTGCTGTTCCTATTGAAATAGCCAATGAAAGATGGATAGTTTAAGTCCAATGAAGGATTGGAACAGGAATGTGAGGAGGATCTTGTGATGGCTTTTATCTGTTGGGATGTGAAGTTTAGACCACAGAGGAGATTTTTATGTAGTCTTGTGGTGTAACGTCGTAGATAAGTCCGGGGTCCAGTGCCTTATTTGGATTGATATGGCCAGCTCCTATGGCTAAGGGAGTAGCAGCATTGTTGTCTCGCGAGTTAATTTTAGTAACCGGTAATTTCTGAGGCCATGAAGCTAATATCAAGGCTCCAGGAGCTATCAGGTCAGGTTTGAGGGTAAAAGGACAACTTTGTGATGGTCCCCTTGAGCTGTAGCTAGCAACTTTTGGTGCTGGTTTAGCACGAAGATGTGTTACTTGAAATTCGAGTCTTGCTTTAGGCGAAGGACTATCCTTGATGTACTCCAAAACTCTATCACCATCTTGAAAGTTCATACGAATTATATAAGCACAATACTACACAATTAGCCATATTGTTGAAAAATGAAATGGAAGTTGATATATTTTCTTGAACATAAGTTAGTTTACTTATATATAGAGAAGTGACAGGCCAAAGTACTCCCTTTATAACAACTTCTCAATCAGTTACCATACTTTATATATATATTGAACTTACAACTTGCAAGTCAAAGAAAGCTTCAATCTAAAAGGAACTGTCTTTGCCATTGCCTCATCTATCATGTCAAAGTTACTTTAGTTGCACATCCCTAAGTATACGTCACATTTTTCCTTTTTAATCTGTCGCAAAAAAATATCATACTCTATTGTGGCATAATATACTCTATCCAAATTCTTCAAAAAAGCTATGCATGTTTGAGGATTTGATAAATTGTGTCAATAGTTTTGGAAAGTTCAAGCAACATAAGTCATACTTCCTTATTTAGAAACACTTGTCGAAAGACCATCAGCTCGAGTGCATCAAATCTAAGCAAAAGAATAAGAATGCAATGAACAAAACTTAGTAGTCCACATTCAGAGTGTCAAATGAGCGGATTGGATTAATAACTCGCACAAATTTACTTGAGCTAAAATGAATTTGACTGAAATGAGCTAATAACTGGATTGGGTTAATGACCTGATTATCTGAGTCATGTTGTCATCTAGTTGTAGAAAATTGAAGGGATTATATATAAGAAAGGAGTGTATCCTGTATCCATCGTACGATAAAGCCATAGCCACTAAAACTAACTTCCAAATTCTATATGATGAAAATTATTAGTCATTCAAAGGTGCTCAACTGGTTTAAATATTGAAGGTGCTCAATCAATCTCTATCTTCATATGTTATTAGTCATTTTCAATATGAATATATAACGTTTTGGAGCACTGGTTGCTTGAGCACCTAGTAGCCACATTGTATGTCCTTCGTTGGTCATCAAAGTGTTAGATATGCATATATGTTATGCTTTATACAACTTGCTTGAGGGTTATATAGTCATCTTGTTTACTGTGATATACATCTTTATTTTAATCTGTATGAACAAAAGACAAATGTCTGAGCTGTCTTGTTTGGAATATTATTTGCCTCATTGTCAATTATTCAATCTTATATGTTTCATGCATCAATCAGCAAGTTTAAGTCTTTAACTAGTGGGGGAAAAAATGCATAATTTTACTTCACAATTATTCATTAGACAGTGTCTTAAATCAGTTCTGTTCTTACAGAGGTTCCACTCTTATGGTAGTGGCAACAATAGGACTTTTTACAACGTATTTACCGCTAGTTTCAACCCAACTCAATGAACCATAAACAAGATAATTATCTACTAACAATGGACCTTCTATCCTAAGCTTGTAGCTTTGTTTTTCATACTTCTCTTTGAAAACCAACTTGTCAGGTGTAACACTAACTGTATATTCACCCATTGGGGTCAATTTTGCTGTGTATGTTGACTGACCATCTCCAAGATTAGTCACTGTCCTGTTGAATACTTGTATCCGTTTCGGATCAGACTTGCTGCTGTTGAAGTTGAAATATCCAATGAAAGATGGATAGTTTAAGTCTAATGAAGGTTTGGAACATGAGTAAGAGGAGGATCTTGTGATGGATTTTATCTGTTTGGATGTGAAATCTAGACCACAGAGGAGATTTACGTAGTCTTCTGGTGTAGCATCGTAGATAAGTCCGGGGTCCAGTGCCTTATTTGGATTGATATGGCCAGCTCCCATGGCTAGGGGAGTAGCAGCATTGTTGTCTCTACCGATGTCTCGGATGGGGCCTTGTGTGTTGTCTAATGAATCGGCTGTGGTCATCATGGCCGAGCGGATGGCAGCAGGGCTCCATTTGGGGTGTACCCCTTTCAGAAGTGCTGCTACACCAGCAGCATGAGGACAAGACATCGATGTACCAGATATAATATTGAAGTAACTGAATAGGTCTCGAGAGTTGATTTGAGCTACTGATAATTTTTGAGGCCATGATGCTAATATCAAGGCGCCCGGAGCCATGAGGTCAGGTTTGAGAATAGAAGGACAGCTTCCTGATGGTCCCCTTGAGCTGTAGCTAGCAACTTTTGGTGCTGGTTTAGCACCAAGACGAGTCGCTTGAAATTCGAGTCTTGCTTTAGGCGAATGACTACTCTTGATGTACTTCAAAACTATATCACCATCTTGAAAGTTCAAAAATATAGCTGGAAATTCACTTTGGAGGTAGAATTCCAAGTCAGTAGTGTTTGTTATGAAGACACCACCCGAAACGTTTGAATTTCTTATATTGTACACTTGATCACTTATTGATCCATTCGCGTCATAGCAGACAGCGATTTTGTATGCATTTTTCTTCACTTCCTTATCCTCTAGGCATGAGTTGAGGAAAACGATGGAGCTGTCGCTTGAACTTGAATTCCCGGGGTATAGGGATAAACCTGTGACAGAAACTCCATTGCCTAGAGTTAGTGTCCCAAGGAAATCGCGGTCGACTGTGCCAGCAGCCATAGTGAGAACCCAAGGTGTTCCATTATGCAAACTCTCATTATCAGGCCCTTCATTTCCTGCTGAAGTGGAAACAAATATACCTTTCTCCATCGCAGCAAATGCAGCTATAGCTATCGGATCATCATACAGCTGACGACCATCTATGCCTAACGACAACGATATTACATCCACTCCATCCTCAATTGCCTGATCAATTGCAGCCAGAATATCAGATAACATAGAACCTTCATCCCACAAAGCCTTATACATTGCCACATGAGCCTTTGGTGCCATCCCTGCAGCAACACCAGTAGCATATCCAAAATAAGACGCAGACTCAACACGACTTCCTGCAGCTGTAGTAGACGTATGAGTTCCATGCCCCTCCGTATCACGTGCTGAATTCATCTCAATGGTAATATTCGGATTGCTAGCGATTAGTCCTTTGTTGAAGTAGCGCGCACCAATGAGCTTCTTGTTACACATAGAGGAATTAAACTGAGTTCCACTTTCACATTCACCTTTCCATCTTGATGGAACATCATTCATCCCATTATCATTATAACTTTTACTCTCTGGCCACACCCCTGTATCAACCAAACCAATTATAACATCTCTACCATAATCTGACTTAGGCCATGCACCAGAATTTGAACTCAAACCAAGGAATTGTGACGTATGAGTCGTATCGATTTTAACTGTCATATCCTTAGTTGAAGAAAGATAACCTTGACACCTCTTGATAACTTGTAGCTCAGAAAGACTAAGTCTTGCACTAAAACCATGAATAGCATTAGTGTAAGCATATACAAGGGAACCATGATTTGAGCTATCTGATATTGAAGCAAGAGTAGACAAATACCAACTATGATGACTAGAAAAGGCTATTGGCATGGCTGACAAATCCATATGGATGATATAAGTTTCTAACTTAGACATACTAAATGGAAATAAAATAGCAAGGAAACACAACCATAAGGCAATATAGTTAGCCATATTTTTTTGAAGAAATGAAATAGAAGTTGGGATTATATAGTTCTTGGTTTTACTTATATATAGAGTATTCTCAATCATATTTTGAAATTGCAACTTGCAAGTTATAAAATAAAGTTTGTAATAATTCCAAACTCTGATTCACTCTAAAAAGGAACTTTCTTTACCATTCATATATCATGTCAAAATTGCTTTAGTTTTACTCCTTCCATCCTTTTAAGTTATATGTCGTACTTTTCTTTTTAGTCTGTGCTTGAATAGTATCAAAACTCTTCGATACTCTAAAAGGTATATATATTTATGGGAGAAGTATTGATGGCACAAATTATTAGTTTTCTCCCCGAACCTTAAAAACACTCTTCTACTTTTAACTAACTAAACTTAGATACACACACCTCTGATCTGTCGTATGACGTAGTAAGTAGTGTCAAACTCTTTTACGAGCATAGTTGAAAACACCCTTAAACAGGGGTGGAGCCACCCTGTACGAAGGGGGTTCATCGGAGGAAAATTATATTATTTATACATGGTTAAAATAATTTTATACGTAGATATAGCAAATGTCGAACCCCCTTCGACTAATTCATGTTTCTATTTCGACAGATTTTGAACCCCCTTATTGAAAATCCTAGTTCTGCCTCTGCGGCCTTAAACTTGACGAAAATTTAGGGGTGTATTTTACTCGTTACAAGATCGAGGGTTGTTTAAGTTCACGTAAAGTGGTGTTTTTAACTATTAAGGTTGTTAATAGTTCGAGGAAGAAACTAATAATTTGCGGGTGTTTTCATCTCTTTAGATTTTATTGAAGATACAATACAGATGAAATTATTTATAACTATACAAATATGTAAAAGTCATTCTTTCTTTTTTAAACTACATGTTCAGTTAAATACTGTTGTTACATAAATTGAGACGACGAAATGATAAGGTTTAATTATGTTGTTTATGATTGATCATAAGAGTTAACATCTGTGTAATGATTTGAATAATCATTATAAATTTGTTTGCAACTAAATAATGGAGCCAAATATACATAAATGAGTATATCATGTATCCATCATAGGTAAAACCATAGCCACTAAAACTGACTTCCAAATTTCTATAGATAAAAAGTAGCAGTATTATATTCAGTGGTCCATAAACTTATGTGGATGATCTAGATGATAAAAAGGAGAACCAATCGGAAAAAATCGACTCAAAATTTTAACTTTATGAATTTCAAATTTTAGAACGTTTTACTCGTTAATGCGTTTGAAATTTAGTATTTGTAGGCATTTACTAGTTTTCTTAACTCATACGTAAGGTCTAGGCTAAGTTAATGTGCCTCCAGGAAATATTAGTTACGTGGTGAGTAAACGTTTTAATTTATATATCCTAATTTGGAGTCTGAATGTCAAACTTATTTAAAAATTGGCTTTCGATATAACATAACCTCAAAAGCTAGTTAGTTCTAACTCGTCAATATTTTATCCAATATGAAACTTCCCAACAAAATTAACTAACTTTCGATGTGAATTTAGACATTAAATCCTCAACTTTTTTTTTAAAAAAAATCACATTTAGTTAACCATTAAAAATATTATTTAATTCTTCAAATAATAAACAGGACATATTATTGGAATCAGTTTGGAGTACTTTATTTAGCTTAGCCAAACTAGCCTTTGTCCTTTAGCCAATTTATTGGACACATTTAACAAACTCTAATTCATCAACATATGTTCTCGTGGGATATTTGTGATCTCTTCGTTCGTAACAAAGAGGTTTAATTTTCGAATTCTAAGAATGAAAAATAATAATCTTATTAAGAACATCGTGCTTGAAATGGGCTTTACGAGTTACGATGTATGAATTTAAATTTAATCAGATTTCAATATGAATAATTTAAATATCGTATAAAAACAAAATTCCTATCATTTTCATGTTTTATTGTTTATTATTATTAAGTTCACATGTAGGGAAATGGAATGACATCATGATTCTTGTAATGGACAAAAAAATAATTATAGAATGAAGGGGAATTATGGCTCTAATTGTCTTAATAAGACCATACAAACTAATATAATTTTTTTTATAAATAGAAAAATAATTGGAGACCACATATGATTTTGATTTATGATAAATATAATTGTGAGTGACTTTTAATTGGCAAAAAAAAAAACATTAGGTACAACTACACTTTAATCTTTCAAAAAAGTTTCCACTAGTAACATGTATTTTTGTTATTTAAGACTTTAAGTCAATTTGTTATAAAAGCAGAAAACAAAAAAAAAAAAAGTTTTTCCAACTTTTGGTAGTGATATTATTTTAGAAACTTCTTGGAGAAAAATTGGGTGTGAACATAGTAAAAGGAATATTATTGGGTTATGAGTCATTTCAATTGTTAATCATTATGATATAAGAAAAAAATTGCAAAATGTTAGTCACATGTATTATTTTTAAAAAAAATAAAAAAATAAATATATATATATAAAGAAAAACAAAGGAAAGTTTGACATGAATAGTGGATAACTAATCAGTAATGCGGCTCAATAAAATTGGTGGCCTGATTTTAATTTTAATGAAAGAAAAAAAAAATTTATAGCTTAATATTTTTTTGAAAGAAAAAATAACATATAAAGTTTGTTATAAATTTGAATTGGGTCTTATATTCTCTTTTTAACTATATATTTTAGGCTCGAGCGTCGAGAATTAAAAAGATCTTATTTGGGAGCACTCTTTGATTTAGTCGACTTTGTGTGTATCAAAATTAAAGTAACGAAGCAATTCAATATAGATATCAAACATTCACTTCCAAATTTTGGGGGCTTAAATCCCTTGCTTTAGTGGCTTGATCCTCTGGACTGCTTTGGTAACAATAATAATATATTCAGTGTAATTTTACAAAGTGAGGTTTGAAAAGGAAGTATTATACACGCCGTCTTATCAAAGACAAATTTCGTTCAAAAATAACAAATTTCATCTATAACTCAATATATAATTTTATATTTGAAAAAATACAATAAATATTATATATAAACTCATAATCTTAAGAATATAATGAGTTCGAAACTAAAGATCTATTAAATTGAATTCATAAAGCAAAAATTGAGAATCCACCCCTAGCATTACTCTTATAAAAGCAGAGAGGTTTGAATATTTTGTATGACAAGAAAAATATTTTTTTAAATGAGAATTTTTCACACAATATTATTAATATGAAATATCAATCTTTAATACTCAATATTTATAAAAAGTTTTTGTTGTTACACATCTATTTATCTATCTTTAACAAATGGAAGACATTCGAAAATTATTTTTCATTTATCAATCAAATATCAAAAACAACGAAAAAAATAATTTCCTAAAATTGACACATAACATGTGAACCTCGTCCCATCACTTAAAGCAAAGTGTGGTGATAATGTCTTTTCTTTTTCAAGAAATATCGTCAAATTGTTTATTCACGAGTTTTAAATTCTAAAATAGGTTATTAAATATAAAAACCAAGTTTCATATTCAACTTTTATATATATATAGTGGATTTTTTAATAAAATTACAAAATTTAAACAAAAGTTACTATATTTAATCAAACAGTGTATCACTTCAACTAAAACAAAAATAAAACACTACTCTCTACCCTAATCAAAGTCATTTCATTCTAACAATCAAATTTTGGGATTGCTAATTAATAAATTTTAGAACCAACCACAATTAATTTCCAATTTAGTTGTTGGTGATTGAATCCTTACCAACCTTTGTAAATAATTTCATCTTCCTAATAATGGAAGGAAAATGAAAAATAAGAACGGAAAAGGGTCAGAAATACTTTTAAATTATTCGAAATAGATCATTTATATTATTGATTATATTATGGGATCAAAAATACCCCTGTTTTTATTTCAAGAGACCACAAATACCCTCCAAATTAACTATCCAAATTTTTAGTGACGTGGCAAGCCACATAGGACTAATCACTCCACCTAATCGTTGCTAATTTGGATTCACTACAAAAGACTAAATGTTTAGTGACGATATTCTGGGCTTTTTTGGCGACTTGTGTCGCCGCTAAAGGTCTAGTTCTTTTGTAGTGAATCCTAGTTGGCAACACTTAGATAGAGGGATTAGTCCAACTTAGATTGCCACGTCACTAAAAAATTGGGGTGTTAACTCTTGAGGGTATTTATGATATTTTGGGATAACGGCGGGAGCGTTTTTTATTCCAAAATGTAACAGAGGGTATAAGTGATCTATTTCACATAGTTTAAGGATAATTTAACCCTTTAAATAAGAAAAAGTGCTAAACGCAAATAAATATGATGTTAACTCAGTAAGAAACTTTTGCAATAAAATATTTAAAGATACAACTCCCTCTTGTTTGGAAAGGAGTAGAATGTTGCCACAAACGAAGAGCTCTAATATCCATCGAGGCTTTAACGAAGAAATGCACAAGTGAAAAAAAAACACAAACATAAAGTGTAGTACAGGACTAAACAAAGGAAAGAAGGATACAATAAAGTGAAACATCAATATTCAGTGTCGTTTACTAATATATCTTAGAGTCTTGATGACAACACTGAAACGCGGGATATAACAGGGCTTAAGCCGTTGTAAGTACGCCTTTGACAACACTGATGAATTTCAAGATAGAAAGACAAAAACAAAGCAGAAAATGACAAACAAAATGAGAACAACTCTTCAATATGTTGATTAGACAACCCGGGAGAATGTCAGGCAACTCTTAATAACTACAAGTTTAATTTCTTATTGCTTCAATTTTAGAAAAGAAGAGAAACTTAGGTTACATCTTCACTTCTACACTCTATTTCACATGCAGAGAGTCAAACAATCATTGTTTTGTAGGGTCTTTAATGTAGTTAGTAAATGAACATTAAGGCCTATGACATTTTCCATGGAAACAACACTAAAAAACACAATAAGTTGAGTGAGGGGTCCAAAAATGCACAATGTGTGGCCAACTCTAGCTGTCAAATAGTATCTCTAGTCACAAGCAAGCAAAACACATCTACCTGTTTTCCTTCTTTGTAGCATCCTTGGACACTATAGTAATCATTGGACCCCCACCCCCACCCCTCTCTAGCATCAACAAAAATCCCAACACATAAGCCAAATCATTAAAGCAAAAC